TGAGGTCTGCTGGTGAAAAAACTCTGTTTTTGTTTGTCTAAAATATCTTTAAAAGCGTCACCCTCTCTTGCAGATTTTCGTGAACCTGACGCTGCGTTAATGGTGTGAGATTAACATAGGCAGGGTCTTCATTTAGCTTCCCCATCCAGGCTTTCATTTGATGACTCAAAGCCCTACTGTGAAAGAGCCTGTGTGCCCTCAGCTTCTTTGGTGGAATAACAATGCCTTTCTCTATGCGGTTGCTGAGAAACTTAAATGAAATAACCCATGGAAAATTCCTAGCACACAGGAGAAAGACATCCAAAGGTAGTTGTTATTAATTATTTCAACTGAAAGTTTTAGCTCTTAACCTTCAGGATTTTAAGGTTTGTTTTTTGCAATTGGAAAATAAAATACTCAGAGACATCAGAGCCAGAATCTTTGAAATCAGAAGCCCCCTTTACGCCTAACCCTCCTTCCACAACATGAAGCCAGAAATAAGGTATGCTCTGTAATCAACTGGAGCCAGTTCAGGAAATGCTCCTCCCAGCCCTGCATTAAGAGACCCTCACTTTGTTCTGGTGACCCAACCCAGGCACCTTTACATAATCAACATTTTTTGTGAGAGCTCTGAGATCGAGTCTTTGTCTTTTCTGATACCATCAGATCCAACTGCAGATCACCTGATTTGGTGATGAAGCCAATTTATTTTTTTTATTTTTTATTTTTTTAAAAAAGATGACTGGTAAGGGGATCTCAACCCTTGGCTTGGTGTTGTCAACACCACGCTCAGTCAGTGAGCAAACCGGCCATCCCTATATAGGATCCGAACCCGTGGCTTTGGTGTTATCAGCCCCACACTCTACCGAATGAGCCACGGGCCGGCCTGTGATGAAGCCAATTTAAATGCAGAACAAGATACTGATTTTAAAGTTAGAGGCCAGGGTCAGATGTCATAATACTGATGAGCAAAAGCAAGAGTCTGAAGAAAACCCATAAGCTATTGCCAGCATCACCTCTGATTGTGCAAGGTAAGCAACCTGCCTGAAATAAAGGTGCTTTATCTCCAAATTCGGAGTGTGTACTCCAAGGAATTCTAGGTATTGGGGTTGGAAATAAGAAAGCAGAAAGGAGCAGGTAAACTACCAACTCAACAGCAGTCAAAGGGCATCAGGAGTCAAGAACAAGCAACAGCAGCTCCTTTGCACTTGGGCAATCCACTTCTGCAGTGCATGCCACCACCACCCTAGGGCCCCCAAAGCCCCACAGAGGCCTCCTAGCCATATTTTACATAAGGGAAATATGACATACTTTCCCAGAACCAGAAGTAAGGGAAAATGGACTGTTATGGGCTGAATTGTGTCCCCCCTACCCCGCCCAACATACATATGTTGAAGTCTCAACTCCCAGTACCTCAGAATGTGACTTTAGCTGGACGTAGGGCCTTTGAAGAGGTGATATAGTTAAAAAATAAAGCCCTTAGGGTGGACCCTAATCCAATGTGACTGTTGTCCTTATAAGAGGAAATCTGGAGACACTGAGAGACACCAGGGGCACACATGCACAGAGAGTGCCTTTGGCTGAATGTTCCCCCAAAACTTAATCCCCACTGTTACTGGTGAAGGTGAGAAATCCTATTATGGCAATTGAAAGGTGGGGCCTTGAAGCAGTGATTAGATTGTAGGACCATGCCTAGTGAATGGATTAACAATGGTGGCCAGGGGCATGGTTCTGAGGACTTTAAAATAAAAGCACACCAGGAGCTCTCTCTGCTCTCTCTGCTCCACCATTTTTGCAATGTGATACTCTGCCATCACTGTCGCCACCACCAAGACTCTCACCAGATGTGTTCCCCAGACTTTGGACTTTCCAGCCTCAGGAACTGTAAGCAATAAATTTCATGTTTTAAATAAATTACCTACTTCCAAGTATTTTGTTATAAGCAACAGAAACAGAATAATACAGTGTCCTTATAAAAGAGACCCCAGAGAACTAGTTTGTCCCTTCTACCATGTGAGGACACAGAGAGAAGGCACCATCTATGAACCAGGAAACAGGCCCTCACCAGACACCAAATCTGCCAGCACCTTGATCTTGGACTTTCCAGCCTCCAGAATTGTAAGAAATAAATTTCTGTTGTTTATAAACCACCCAGTCTATAGTATTTTGTCATAGCAGCTTGAATGGACTAAAACACTGCCATAGCAAATTACCCAAAACTTGGTGGCTTAAAACAAGAGAAATTAATTTTCTCACAGTTCCAGAAGCCAGAAGTTTAATATCAGTTCCTCTGGGCTGATTTCAAGGTGTTGGCAGGACCCTGCTCTGTTCCTTGCCTCTTCCAATTTCTGGTGGCTGCTGGGGTTCCTTGGCTTGTGGCCAAATCACTCCAATTTCTGCCTCTGTCTTCACATCACCTTCTCCTCTTCTATGTACACCAACCTTCCCTCTGCCTCTCTCTTATAAGGACACTTGTGATCAGATTTTAGGCACACCTTAAAATAATCTCCCCAAGTCAAGATCCTTAATTTAATCACATCTGCATAACCCTTTTACTTTATAAACCAACATTTACAGGTTTGAGGTATTAGGACTTGATATATTTGGGTGGCCATTATTTAGCCTCCAACAGTGTATTAGTCCATTTCTGTTGCTTGTAGCAAAATACATGGAACTGGGAATTGTATAAAGAAAACAAAATTTATCGCTTACAGTTTTGGAGCTAGGAAGTTCAAAGTCCAGGGAATACAGCTGGTGACAGCCTTGCTGGTGGTGACAGTGACCCAGGTGTCTCAAATTGCAAGATGGTGGAAGCAGAGAGAACAATAGAGAGACAGACTCTTTGTGCTTCCCTTTTAAAGCCCTCCAAACCACGCCCATGACCACCATTTTTAACTCATTCAGTACAGTGTGGGTCCTACAATCCAATCACCTCTTCAAGGCACCACCTTTCAATTACCATAATAGGATTTGCCACCCTCAACAGTTACAGTGGGGATTAAGCTTCTAATATATGAAACTCGGGGGACACAACTCAGGTTTCAGTGAGCTTTGGGGGGACATAATTCAATCCACTACAGACAGAGTCCGAATTCTTTACATACAATTTCAGGAAGATCATGGACCCCAGGGAGGAACATCTGCTCTGGAGTTGCATTTCACCACAGATATGCTATGCACAGTTAAACTGGAGACTGGCCCATTTACTTATTTGCAAACCTCTTTCTACCTAAGAATCAACTGCAGCGCTGGTCAAACAAAATACAAAAGCACAACCCAGCCCCTAGTCCTAGTAAATCAGAATCCCCCAGAGATGGGTCCCTGGAATCTGCATTTCTAACAAGCGTCCCCAAATGATTGTGATGCAGCCAGCCCCGCACTCATACTTGAGTGAGTATTGGTTAAGAGCCTTGGTGTTCCAAGTCTCTCTGTTAAATAGACATATCGCCGCCTCTTTCACAATAAAAAAAAAAAAAGATGTCTTTGGAAGTCTACTTGCCCACAGAAAAGGCTAGCGCTCTTTCCCCCCTCTCTTCCCCCTATACAAAGGTGAGGAACTTTTATTGCTGACTTGATTTTGGTCCTCCCTTGGGTTTAATGCCTCAGGATGTGGCGATGAGCCAAGGGAGAGGGAGAATGGAAGGGTGGAGGGGGGGAAGGTGTCATGAGCCCAAAAGCACAGGCAACAAAAGAAAAAATAAACAAATGGGAGTATATCAAACTAAAAAGCTTCTGCACAGCAAAGGAAATAATCAACAGAGTGAAATGACAGCCTACACAGTGGGAGAAAATTTTTGCTAACTCTGCATCCGACAAGGGATTAATATCCATAATATAGAAGGAACTCAAGCAATTACACAGTAAAAAACCAAATAACCCAATTTAAAAATGGGTAAAGGATATGAATAGACATTTTGTAAAGGAAGACATACAAATGGCCCACAGGTACATGAAAAAATGCTCAACATCACTACTCATCAGGGAAATGCAAATTAAAACCATACTGAGATATCACTTCACCCCAGTTAGAGTGGCTATAATCCAAAAGACGGAGAATAACAAATGCTGGCCAGGATGTGGAGAGAAGTGAACACTCCTACACTGTTGGTGGGGACTGTAAATTAGTACAACCACATGGAAAACAGTATGGAGGTTTCTCAAACAGCTACAGATAGATCTTCTATATGATCCAGCAATCCCTCTTCTGGGTATATACCGAAAGGAATGGAAATCATCATGTCAAAAGGATACTGCACTCCCATGTTCATCGCAGCTCTGTTTACAATAGCCAAGATATGGAACCAACCTAAATGTCCATCAATGGATGAGCGGATAAGGAAACTGTGGTATATATACACCATGGAATACTACTCTGCCATAAAAAAGAATGAAATTCTCCCATTTGCAACAACATGGATGAACCTGGAGAAACTTATGTTGAGTGAAATAAGCAAAGCACAGAGGGATAAATAACTCATGTTCTCACTCATACGTGGGAGCTAAGAGAGAAAGAAGGAAGGAAAGAAAGACCACGATGGTGCGTTGGACTTGCAGAGGGAGAGAGCACACCTAGGGATACAAAGTGGAGTGGGGGAAAAGGGGTGAGGAGGGAGGTGGGGGATAATTGGGTGGGGGACATGGGGTATAATCACAATTTGTGGTAATGGGTATGCTATCAATATGGATCTGGCCATCACATCATGGGCATGAGGGATGACAATCAGCTTTGTTTCTCATGAATATTCATAACCAGTAGAAAATTACAAACAAACAAAAACAAATTCTCGGGTAAAACGCAAACCAGCTCAGTCATTCTAACTAAAGCTGTACTTGACGCCCCCGCACCGGGGCCAGTGACGCCCTCTCCACCTCTTGCGTCCGTCCCTTCGCCTCGGGCCGAGGCTGCGCCGGGAGCCCGCCCCCGCGCCCCGCTGATTGGCCGCACTGGCCGCCTCCTCACGCGCCTTCGTCTCTGCGGGCGGAGGATAAAAGCGGCCGCGGCTGCCTTGGGAACCGCGCTGCCTCGCCTCGGCTACCCCTCGCTGGGCGGTCGTGCGAAGCAGCTCCGCCGGGCAGCCCCGGTCGCTTAGCGGCCGAGGAAGCGCCCGTCCTTTTTCCCTACAGGATCGCGGAGACCGGAAAACAGAATCTACAGCTGTCAACGCCGGAGCAACCGCGGCCCATCAGCGGAGCACAGGTAAAAAAAAGGGGGCGCGATGGCCCGGCGGAGAGGGAGGGGAAGCCCCGCCGGTACTGGGCGGTTCCCGGCTTGGAGAATCCGTCGCCGGGAGAAAGCGGAAGGAGCGCTCCTGTGGCCCGGCTGCCCTGAGGAAGGCAGCGGGGCTCACCTGGATGCTGCCGACTGGGTAGGATTTGCCTGGATGGGGGCCGGGGAGGGGATCGGCGAGGAGAGGGGGGATCTCGCAAGCTGAACCCCCTTTGCATCTCCTCATCTCTTCCTGGGGAGGAATATGTGGGTGGGTGTGTTCAACTCCTATTCCCTTTCTCCGTGGCAGGCCACCAAAGCCGAATCCGAACTTGAATTCTGCGCAGCTGATTGCAGAGCTGGTAGGCCGACGGTTTCCCGGGGAAAATGTAATGGAAGGGTAGGACTGGGGCGGGGGGACACTTGGGCTTGTACTCAGAAGGTGGGAAAGGGAATTTTCTGCCTGGCGACAGCGGAGGCGGGGGGGGGGGGGGGGGGGGGGGGGGGGGGGGGGG